ATTTACTGATGAACATTTTTTTTTGTCTAGTAATCAATCTCTTCTTCAAGTCTTATTTTCCATTTTATTAGTATATTACTATGCAAAATATAAGCACAGACTTATAAAACCATACTAGCGTGTTGTTTAAATATTACGCACACAACGCGTACAGGGACACTCTCAAAACATAAATTATATAATTGCCTTATCATTATACAAATGTACTTGATATTTGATAAACATTCACATTAAAACGCATATGTTCTGTCTAAAGGCAAATAGGATGGAATATATAAATGATGTTTTTTTACTGCAATCTAATTTTTACTTTTTTATTTTCCGATCTAAAAATGAACACATATAATAGTTAATTGGAAATATATGAGACTATTTGTGGGAACCCAAAGATAAAATTATATTTCCGACCCATAATTTAATATATTATATATGTTTAATTCGCTGATGTAGTGCAATACTTAGAGTTGACCTTTTTCATATCTACACATGTATATGCATTTATTTTTCGAATTTCACTGTTATACTTTTGTGCCTCATTTGTCATTCATGTGAAGATTTATTTTTATCTCCAAAGTTAGATCAAACTCTTATAAGGGGACGATCGTTTGATTTTTTTTTTTTTTTGGGGGGGGGGGGGGTTTAGAAAATGAATGATCAATTTCATGGTCTGGTAAGAGCTGCAAAATGAATAACCTTGCATAAAACAGGATGAAAATGAAAATTCTGTAGCACAAAATGCAGGAAACAATTGTGTACAAAAGAGAAAATAAATAAGCATGCGTAGCAACAGATTAAAACGAATGGTCAATCTCAAAAGAATTCTCCCGACGCTCTTTCTGGATCGGGGGTGGCGGCCAAGGAAAATTATGCTGAAAACTGTTATAAATTATCTAATGGAAAAATAAGAACAAAACTGACGTTTCAACACTAATAATGCGTGATTAAGGGGTCATATCTACGTAATGTTTAATGTGAGGTGCCAAAAAGAAGTTATTTTCTATTAGAACTAATATTACTCCTTTTTCTATTTGAATTTTGAAACATTTTGTCTTTATCTGAAAACATCTTAGGGCCAATTTTGGCCCTTCTTGATTCTACTCCTTTAAATGCATGGAGTTCTATATTTCCAACTTTATTCCGAATGCAATAACTGTCGTAGCAACTCCCATTTATCTTTTCTCAATTGTGATACTGATCATCCTGATATGACTTATCACAATTTTTTCTTGTCATGAGCAACTTGTTGAGATATGAACTTCTTACCATTCCGGAGTCCCGCGTTCCCTAACTTTAACCTAAACTGTTAACTTAAGCATTAATTAAGTTGAACTTATTTTCAATTGCAACTGACACGACATTGTAATATCAGCCAAACCTGATTGCTTGAAATCGATCTCGAATTAATAGACCACTTTCGAGTTATGTCCTTCACCGGAAAATTTCTTTAATTTTGTGCGCCTTTGTGACGTCATTTACCAGATAGAGGGTATATATCACCTGTATCCCTGCTCTTTTAAAGTTCGCCAAGCGTCTTTGTGGTCGTCATTATGCAGGATACACTAGAAATAATATTTGTTCCGTAGGTACTTAATCACAATTCCCTAATGACAGCAGTGCTGAATATCAATTATAGGAATTTAATTTTCCGAATGATTCGTGCAATTTAGCAATTATATTTTTCCAACCACTCGCTCAACATAGGAACGGAAGTGACGACGCCCCTAAACGCACGAATGATGTTCACTAAAACCAAAGTTTTTGACGGAAATGCAACGAACTCGAAAGTTGTTTATTCAAACTTCAATTCTGCCTCACACATCTTTTAATATTTTGAAAGTATAAATTTTAATAACAACAAAATCATATCAAGCAATCTGAATTCTAATTAGCAATTTTTAATTTTGATTTTGAAATTCACTTGCAAATCCCACAAAAACCATTTTTTATATTTTGGGTTTTATTTTGACTTTTTCAAATTGAATAATAAAAACTTTAAAATTTTAATTTTAATTTTAGCTGCAAAACTGAATTTCAAAAACACTCAAACCTATATCATTTACAGGTGGTTAAGAGAAAACTGTTTAGTCATTTCAACTTTTAGTCAATACACGAACTATTTCAAATATGACAAAATAATGTGTTGTCAAATTAAAGGTTGAACATTTTTGAATTGCTAAACGTTAGAAAAAAAAAACAATGTTCTATTTACTTTAAAGTATAATACACAAAGCATTCAAAATAATTTGAATATGAATTATTACCAAACTTGATAGAAATTTTCCAGAATTAATTAATTCAATCATTTAACGACGAAATATTAGAACTTAGTTTAGATCACACTTACTGACCTATTTTAATTCAACTGAAGAATATGTTAGGTATATGCCTGTCAATGGGACAGCAACTCCATGACACAAACAATCATAACACCTTACCGTTTACGCCTCTATTATGATCAGCATGCGCTCCATAGAAATATTATTTTTTTTACATCGCCAGCTTAAAATATATACAGCATATTGGTTAAATAATTTGAAAGACAACTCTTGATTGTAAGTTTTTATTGCAATTGATCAGGATGTCATTTTTTTTTTAATCGACGGCACTTGAAGCCGGTTTTGTATAAATAACTAAAGATTACATAGTCTATGTCATGAGTCAATCACGGTCCTTGCACAGTCACATGGAGTTAGTACTGTACTGTTGCATTCTGTCGTTAACATGAGGAAAGCTTTCATGTGACATTATGTTTTCATGATACATAGCCTCCAGTTTTATTTTACAGAATCAAGTTGAAATCTGTAGAGCTCTAGCTAGATCTATTTTTCGTTTACTTCTTTTTTTTTTTTTTTTTTAACTAAATGTGATTTATCTATGGAACGCCTATCTTACATAACCTAAAAGTATCGACAGAAAATAGTTGATCAAGGAAGACGTTTAGGTCCGTATGTATTTCGACAAATTTAAGTTTCATTTCACAGCCATAGGTATCTGGATTTTGTGGAGGATTTTGAAAGTTCAAAATTATACTAAGTTTAGAAGAAGTTGTAAGCAACCAATAATTAAAGATTAAACAGTGCGATACACATTGAACAGTTAAGGTAGACGGCATTTTTGCCCTAGAAAGAAAGAATTGTGACGTGTTTTTCAGTCAAGAAAGCGCTGTGACACCTTGATTTATATGGGACCAAAGCCAGAATACCCACGCATCCTTTGTTAAGTTGTCTCGTCTTTCTGATACAAATTGATATGGCAATCGACCATGGAAAAAAATCAATATATTTAAAAAAAGAATAATTGAATTCTATTTCAGCGAACCTTTTATATTTATTTTTTACTACAAATAGTTGTAAAGTATTAAATTTCAGTATTAAAAACTCGTGTTATGGGTTTTGCTTTTGCTCATTGACGAAGGCCATGCAGTGACCCTGGCCGTTCTACGCCATTCGGTCTTTGGTGGATTGTTGTCTCATTGGTTAATCATACCGAATTTCCTTGTTTCATTTTACCCCTGATCGCCATGATAGTAAATTGAAAGAATGGCAATGAACAAATACTTCTTATTGGATGTCCAGCGTCAAGGACATGCATGCTTATGGATAGACATAATTTGTTGAGTTTTACCAGCACACACATTATCAATTACCATTTCTCAATTAGATAGAATAGGAAATCATGTTTTGGTTCATATCTGTAATAATATTATAATGGATCAGTTAGCGTATTATTTATATGTGTCTTCTGTGCTTTGAAATGAAAATCACCAAAACATGTATAAAAAGAAATATGGAATAAATGTCAATGAGACAGCACCCCAACATTAACCAAAAGAAATTTCGAGGCCAACATCAAAATTTGACGTGTGTCTATAATATGCCAAGCTCTAATCTCTTGGAATCTAAAAATTATCTCGATATCATATGTACGAAAGAGCATCGAAGGACATCATCACCTGAATCCCAAATTGTAAAAAAACATAAAGACAGAGCCAAAAAACCTGGTTACTATAAGAAAATATGTCAACGAATAAGTATATTTCTTATATACAAAATGATATCGTTCTCGAGGATTCATCTGGCCTTGACCTTATTATCATGGTCCATTGTTCGTCATTAAGTTTTCACGATTGAGACAGTTTCTGAGTCAATTATAAAAGAGAGACAGAAAATGCCAAGGAGACAATCAAAACTTGTTAATAAAAGAAAAAGAGACAACACCATCGCCAAAAAAAAAGAACAAGAATATGTGCCTATAGGTCACCATTCCGCGCTCGTACTATCACATTTCCATGCTAAGTAAACTTTGAAATCTTGGCCAAAATCCTAATTTGGCATATATATTTATACATTAAACAACTCGCTTGATAAGGAACATGTATACATGTGTACTAATTTTCAAGTTGATATAACTAACAACTACCCCTAACCAAAACTTTAACCTACCTTAAGCCAAAACTCTAACATGCAACGTGTCAGACGGACGGACTTGCGTACAGACCGAAAAACCTAAATACCCCTTATTTACTTTCGTAGGCTGGGCATAAAAACGACGATAAAGACAAACAGCAGTCTACAGAAAATTTAAAAAAAAATGAGCTAAACGAATCCAACCCCCAAAAAGGGGGAGATCTCTGGTACTCTGAGATTAAGGAATTGTTTTAAAAGTGTATAATGATGGGTTACAAATCAGGAAAAAGAATGTGTTTCGTTTCATATGAACTACTTCTAGGACTAATTGGCATTTGAGCGGAAAGGGGCGTCTTGTTGTCTGGACACTTTTAGTTTTTAACTTTCACTAAAACATAAATTTTATAACTTAACCAGCATAAAGTGAGATAAAATATTGAGGACAAAACAAAAGGTTTTCAGATATTTAAACACTGTAGAAACAAGTAACGCTTCTCCTAGTGCTTACCTGCAGTCGTATAAGAAACTGTCAATAGTTGTATTATGTATTATGAATGTTGTTTATGTTTTATTTTGCAGCCAAGAAACCAGCAATCACCACGAGGGCAAAGTGAATCAAAAGGGTACAGTTACACAACTTATTCATGTTAAACTTATCTCGGGACCAGTAGACAGAGCACTTTGTATTGTTGTGGTATTTGTAGTAAACAGTGTACATCAAAGTATCAGCTCAAAATTCATACGAGATCTCACACTGGAATGAAGGGGAACACTCTCAATGGGAGTGGCAAAATATCAAGTACCAATGTACCTACAGAAAACCACACGAAAACACATTCTGCTGTTAAAACTTGTGTGTGTGATATATGTGGTAAAACGTGTAGTAATAGATACAACTTAAAGATACACATGCATATACATACTGGTGAAAAACCTCATATGTGTGAGATTTGTGGTAGCAGTTTTAGATATGGTAAGACTTATAAAGCACACATGACCGCCCACTCTCAGTCTGTCATGAGATCTCACACTGGGATGAAAAGAAACACTCTCAATGTGTATGGAAAAAAGTCAAGTAGAAATGCACCTTTAAAGACTTGCATGAGAACACATTCTGCTGACAAAACTTGTATATGTGATATATGTGGTAAAACGTGTAGTAATAGATACAACTTAAAGATACACATGCGGATACATACTGGTGAAAAACCTCATATTTGTGAGATTTGTGGTAGCAGTTTTAGATATGGTAAGACTTATAAAGCACACATGACCTTCCACTCTCAGTCTGTCATGTCTGTTAGTAAATGTAATGTTTGTGATAAAACATTTACTCAGAGTCTTAAGTTAGAGAAACACATGAGAATACACACTGGTGAAAAACCCTATAAATGTGATAAATGTGGTACAAGATTTAACGAGAAAGGCAGCTTGCGGAGACACACGAGAAATCGTATTTGTGATAAATTTTATAAATGTGATGTATGCGATAAAGGATTTAGTGAAAGTTACAACTTGCATGTGCATAGAAAAACGCATATATTAGATACACATTATAAATGTAACGATTGCGGAGAAGAAATGAGTCAATACAGTGACTTAATGATGCATATTAAAAAAATACATACTGAGGAGACACCCTTTAAATGTGATATATGTGGTAAAGGGTTTATCCAGAGTAAAAACCTAAAACGTCACTGTAAGAAAATACATACGGCTGATAATGTTGACAAACTTTATAAATGTGATATATGTGGTAAAGAAATAAAACAGTTACAGAAGCACATGAGAATACACACTGGTGAGAAACCTTTTAAATGTGATGTATGTGGTAAATGTTGTAGTACTAAATCGTCCCTGAAAGAACATTTGAAAACCCACACAAATGAAAAACCTTATGAATGTGTTGTCTGTGGTAAAGAAAGTCGAAAAAGGTATGACTCAGAGGTCCACATGAGAGTTCATACTGGTGAAACGCCTTATAAGTGTGATTCTTGTGGTAAAGGATTAAAAACTTCTCGTAACTTGAAAATACACATAAGAATACACACTGGTGAGAGACCTTATCAATGTAATGTATGTGACAAAAGGTTCACTCATGCAGGGGCTCTAAAAACGCACTTGAAAATACACACTGGTGAGACACCTTATAGATGCGAAATATGCAATAAACAGTTTAGTCGGAATCAAGCATTACACACACATTTGAGGAGACATTGATTGAATTTATTAATAAGCTTATCTGTTCAAAACGCAACGTAAGCTGTCTCGTCACTTGATGTTTGTTGTCCGTTTCCATTTGTTAAAATCTACTCGATAAATTTGATACAAATGTGACCTTGTTCATCCTTTGGGTATGTAGATTAAAAATTGTGTTCGATGAGCTCGCCTTCCAATAACTGATGGCCACCGAGACAGAACAGAACGTGGGTTTGGGGATGTAAAATACAAGTATTGGATATATGGGACAAAAGTGGTCAAAATGTCAAAACCTTCTATCCAATTTACTGGCTCCAACATGGTCATATCCGACCTGCGATTGGGGGGGGTTTCCGACCAGACGTCTCAGTTGAAAGGACTTGTGACCTTGAAACATATTCAAAATGGTTTACTGTGACTTTGCTGAATATGTTATTTTTATTTAATTATCCGAACCAACGAATAAAAATTACGTAAGAACTCATACTAAAGGTTATCATGCCCGGAAGTTACACACACATTTAATGATAAGCATTAATATTTAAAATAATCGTTTATGAAATTCAAATTGTATATCATGTATATGTGGAAAGGGGTTTAATTATGGTCAAAACTTACTGACATGTACTGCACACAGAAGAATACTGGTTGGGGCACAACCATTCGAATTTATTTTTGAGGGGATGGTTGCAGGAGGGTTTTTAAAATGGATCTGCTGGCCTATTAAAAAATGAAATTATATAATCTTTCCCAAGACCATACTTCCCCATACAATTGATAATTTACTCCATATCCTTTCATTTTCTAATGCTTAAAAAGCTGGTTTTGCAATAAATTAAAGTGACCTACAAGTAAACTACAAACCCCCCTCCCCCTGAAAATTTAAATAGGTGTTGTTCCATAGCTTAAACAACTTATGAATGCACAAATGTATTAAAAGTTTACGAAGACTCCTATGCAATTCATTATACATCATTGTTATGTACACATAGAAATAAGCCTCCTCATGGGGTTTTTGATTATGTGATTATGTGATTACTTGGCCGTTTTTAGAGTGATTATTTGATTACCAGACCAAATATTTCATGATTATTTGATAATGTGGGACTGTATTTTTGATTATCTTGTTTTAAAAAATAATTAATGATTATGTGTTATATTTTCAAAAAAATTGTGATTATGTGATTACTTGGACTTCCCCATGAGGGGCCTCAAAAATGGTGTGTGGTAAAGGCAACTGTGTTTGATTAGTTTCACTTTTAAACTTGAATTATATATGTTATACTACACACAGTTTTATTATTACTTTGTGTACAATACTTCACATAAAGCAGGAGAAATTTTATGTGATTTTTTTTCAACAGAAGTTTTTCCTTTCATAAAGTTTATTTAGTTGAATAGTCTTACTAAGTCACTATGTTTTTTTTATTTGCTTTGCTGGTGTATTTGTTTTTAGTCTTTTCATGAAGTATATGTTACAGCTAGTATATCAAAGATAGTTAAATAGACCAATATTTTAAAAATGAATAAAACAATGCTGATGTCAGGAAATGTATTTTTTTGTACTATTCTAATAAAAGGAATTGTGTCTGAATAATGTTTATCTTATTGTCAGATGTTTTATTTTTGATTAGGACTGGTATTTAAATGTGAAATTATTACAATTAGTATAAATACAATGTATAATTATCTGAAAATTTCCAGTTATCTATAAATAATTTACAAGCCGGTGATTCACTGTAGTGTGTCCACATTTTATAAATTCATGCAAATGGAAAAATAGCTACCATAAGAATAGATATTTCCTCATGACACGCTATTTTGGTACATGTATAAGGGATTACACAAAGGCGTGATCTGGAAAAAAGAAGAAAACCGTGGAAAAAAAAAATACAAACTAGACAAAGTGATGCCCCCGCACTCCAGTCTGGAGTATCTGTATTATAACAAAGTTAATGTAGGACTTTCTTTGAGATATTATTGTGTCTGGGAGACGCAAATGATGCCCCCCGCAGATGCAAAGTCTTATTTTAAAATACACAAAGTTGAACATTAGAGCACATATAGGTCTAAGGTTCACTGTAGGAGGAGTTATCCGGAAACGCTATACACCTCTTATGCAAGTAAATACTCCAAAAAAAGAGAGCAAATATTTAATAAAAATAAAAACCCTGACTACATGCACACCTTCAGTATGTGTACAAACTGTCAGCTAAGTGAAAACTAATCACTAGCATTCAAACTTTAGGAGGAGTTATCCGGAAACGCTATGCACCTCTTATGCAAGTACATACTCCAAAACTGACAAATTTCAACTATCTCCCATAAGAGCAAATATCAATAAAAATCAAAACGCTGACCACATGCACACCTTCAGTATGTGTACAAACAGCCAGCAAAGTGAAAACTTCCTTGCATTCAAACTGTAGGAGGAGATATCTGGAATAACTATATACCCATAATGTGACAGACGGATGGATGGACAGACGGACGGACGGACGGGTAAAACAATATACCCCCAAGTCCAACTTTCACTTGCGGGGGCATAAAAAGCGAGATTTGGGAAATGAGCACCCCACTTGCACCCTCCATAATACATATATTGCCACAGGACACCGAATATCCTTTGAGAAAGCACAGGACATTGTGACCGAAAGATATTTAAGTGCTTCGTGACAATTCATTTTCCCGAAAAAAAGCACCAATAGGAAGATCATTTGTCCTTCCTTTATATATTTTTATTTATATATTTTAACTGATCTGATGAGTTTCTACTCTTATCCATACGATATAACAATAAAAGTTGTTAATTTGTCATGCTCCTTCATTCTTATAAACTTCTGTTATTGTTATATCGTATCTATAAAAGCAAAAAGCATAGAATAAGTGAAAATAAAATAACATATTAAAGAATATTTATTTAAAAAAATTAAAACACAAAAAAAAATATAGAAAAAAGAGGCTCCATTCCCTGAGCCTTTTGTGTGAGAAAGGCTTTCAAAGGTCAGTATGGTAACAAACACGTAAACGTTTACCAGTAGATAAGTTAAAAGGGTTTGTAAAAAGACGGAAGAAATATAGTTATGAATGGACATATAGCAAAATATAAAGTGTTGACCAATTTATGAGACGTGGATGTTCAATTTATGCAAAAAATGGTCATTGAAATTTTGAGACTTGGAACTAAAATAACATCTATTGGTCCAAGCGTAGACAATCGTAAACATGCACATAAAGATACAACTAAGAAAAGTGTCATCTAAAAGAAAGAGCCAATGAAATATCCGTATCAAGAAAAGGAAAATGAAGGTTTGTAGCGTATTACCATAAGATGATTTCTTATACTCACTGCGAAGTTCAGTTTGTTATATTTTAGTAATAATGACATAGTTCTCATGTGTTGCACATCGTCAGTTCTCCCTATTTTTATAGTGTGCACGTAGACGGGATTAGATTCATAAAACTTGACACCCCAACTTTTTTTCCGTTGAACACGTCAGACTACTTTTTCCAAAATACTAATGGATTAGCTAGCTGTAATATCAATGGGCAGTAAATACAAAACCTGTATAGAGCTTACACTGACCACAAGATGGAAAACAAAGACCTTACACCTAGACCTAGCCCTAGACTTTTACAGCACTGGTACTTGTGTAATCCAAGCTTCACTAGTTTCACGCAATATGTCAGCTTTCTGATAGTTTTGATTGATTGCTGCTTGCAAAACGTCCAGTTGTAAATATTTCATACATATTCAGGACGATCATGTTTGTAGGTAATTTTTCAAAGGTACTTTTTGTTTCAGTAAAGCTGAATATAATTCTGATTATTACAGTTTCTGTACTTAGGCATCGATCATACATGTTTGGATTTGTTTTTGAGGGGGGAGGGTACAAAATCGTTTGTGTCGAAATAACTAAGTAAAACCTGATTTAGAAGGTTGTTTTAAAAAAAAAATCCTTGTTCCTGTTTATTTTTGAAAAGATCGGTTGTGCCTCGAAAAAAAAACATATGCCCCCCCCCCCCCCCCCCCCTAGGTCCCCCTCCACACACACCGAAACGATAACACAGAAGCGTTGACACAGGATCTGTTTTTTAATTAAAATGAGTCTGAATGGTACTGCGATGAGATAAATTGTCATGACTAGGTATATATAGGCTGGTTATTTTATTCCGGATTGGTAAACAAGGAACTACTGAGATAGGATAGTCGTCAAGTTGTGATACAAGACAATTTAGCAAGCCGTTTGAAACACAATGCACATTTTTGAAAGTATCTTAATACGAAAAAAGATAAATATATGCATGCAGAGTAAAAAAGTTTCATTACAAAAGAGTCGTCAAATATAATGAATAGTCTTCATTTAAGAAGCCAGTACACTTGAAAACAATAATCATACTAAGCTGTTATTTAAGACGGGTATCATACTAAAACCATGATACCACTAATATATTAGTTTGTATGATGTTCGTCATATTTTTTTTTCCAAACTGCGTATTTAAGAGGGGATGGCTTTGGGGGACTGTATTTCTCTGTTCATTGATTTTTATGCCATTTTTTTTTATTCTTTATTAATTTTGCCGATTATTCTTTATTCTTTGTTTATTAGCACCCCATTATTCTCTATTCTACATTTTAGGGCATATTTTTAAATATTGATTTTTTGACCATTTTTTCTGTATTTTTTATCCCATTATTCCCGTTTTCAGTAACGATATCCCATTCTGACCCTCTTTGAACTGAAAAGTATTTGAAGAAAATCGTTAGTAATCGTCAATATCTATAATAACTTCATGTTATGATTTAAACAATAATTTTATAGTAACTTATAAATATAAATAAGTATACCACACATTTTGTGTATTTTATTTAATTACTTATTATTATAGTATTCACTCGAATTTTAATAGTGCCTAATAATCAACTTTTATTCGAACTTCATATGCATGGTAAAACTATGACTTGCTGTTACACAGGAAGTATAACAGTATTTCAAATAGTCTCCCTTAATGAGGGGCTTGATGGGGTCCTTCATTACTGTTTTCTTTAGTTTTTTTAGGCCCATTATTCTCTATTCTTTATATAATAGCACCCATTATCCTCTTTTTTAAAATTTTTGGGGTCTATTTTTCTCTATTCTATTTTTTTTCGCCCATTATTTCATATTCTGTTAACGTCCATCCAGACCCTCCTTAATCTAACTGGAATTTGAAGTTAAATTCTGGTCCGAAATCAAACAATGTAATTAAACTCGATGTTTCGCCATTTCTAATAAGAAGCAAATGGTCAAAATCTTCCTGAAAAGAGACACGGACTAGAATTTAAATTTGCGTGGCCTAAATTGTTTTCGTCATCGAACAGGTAAATAAAGAGTCATAAATTTTATATCACAACATGGACTTTCCACCTTTCTATGTTACTTTTAACATAGTTCTGTTTATTAATCATTATACAGGTAAGTGAATCATTCTCTTTTCTTCTTTTTTGTTCATTTCATTCATCTTTTCGCCTTTTATCAATAACTTGTTTAGTTATTTCAATCTAGGTGATAATTAGGATGATTAGGAATTTATTTTATAAAAACATAACCTTTCCTGACCCGGATTTTAACAATCACTAAACTTTCCTGACCCCGATTTCGACCCCCTCTTTTATCCTTTGGAAGCTAGATCGACTACCGGTGACCAGGTCAGTTTTTGAATGTGTCATTTTCATTTTCGTCTTATTTTTTCGATTAAATCATAGGCCCTCAATTATTCAGATAAACATGCAATCGACATTTTTACCTATACGGACGTTGTTAAAATTAGAACTACATATCAAAGCGACCGAATTGATAATTATGTTTAATCGGTTTTACCTACACCAGCTATATTCTTTCGATTTGCATATTACAATCTGCATGAGGAGCGAATACAAGCAAAGTTTAACTTGTTTTGCAGTTCATAATTTAGTAATTATTCTCTATTCTTTATATTTTAGCACCACATTATTCTCTATTCTTTATATTTTAGCACCACATTATTCTCTATTCTTTCTTTTTTTGGTCCATTTTTCTCTATTCTTTATATTTTGGCCCATTATTATCTATTCTGTAAACCCCCATCAACACCCTCCTTATTCCACCTTGAACATCATAAAGGCAACTAAACTTCAAATCCAGGAAACAATTTTTCACTTCTGAAGTCAATGATGTGTTAGCACAAGGCATCTTGAAGTATTTGTTGCTTTAAAATGTCACCGTCTCCGAATTCAAAGCATTTTTACGGAGATGTACGTTTTTGTAAATATTTGTCACCACAAAATCCTTAGATTCCGAAATTCTGAATTTGGTTCGACCTTTTTCTGGACTTTTGTCGAGCCTTCGACTTTTGTCGAGAAAGCAAGACATAGCGATCCTACATTCCGTCGGCGTCGTCGTCGTCGTCATCGGCGGCGTCCACAAATATTCACTCTGTGGTTAAAGTTTTTGAAATTTTAATTTCTTTCTTAAACTATCTTGGATTTCTACCAATCTTGGACAGAAGCTTGTTTATGATCATAAGATAGTATCCAGAATTAAATTTTGTAAAAAAAAATATCCTGTTTTTCCGTATTTTACTTATAAATGGACTTAGTTTTTCTGCCAGGAAACATTACATTCACTCTGTGGTTAAAGTTTTTAAAATTTTAATAACTTTCTTAAACTATCCTGGATTTCTACCAAACTTGGACAGAAGCTTGTTTATGATCATAAGATAGTATCCTGAAGTAAATTTAAAAAAAACAAATTCAATTTTTTCCGTATTCAACTTATAAATGGACTTAGTTTTTCTGCCAGGAAACATTACATTCACTCTGTGGTTAAAGTTTTTAATATTTTAATAACTTTCTTAAACTATCCTGGATTTCTACCAAACTTGGACAGAAGCTTATTTATGATCATAAGATAGTATCCAGAATTAAATTTTGTAAAAAACAAAATTCCATTTTTTCCGTATTCAACTTATAAATGGACTTAGTTTTTCTGCCAGGGAACATTACATTCACCTTGTGGTTAAAGTTTTTAAAATTTTAATAACTTTCTTAAACTATCCTGGATTTGTACCAAACTTGGTCAGAAGCTTGTTTATGATCAAAAGCTAGTATCTAGAAGAAAATTTTGTTAAAATGTTGTACCTGTTAATCCGTATTTTACTTATAGATGGACTTAGTTTTTCTTCCAGTTAACATTACATACAGTCTGCAGTTAAAGATTTAAAATATTTATTAGATTCATAAACTATCCTGGATTTTTACCAAACTTGGACAGAATCTTCTTACAATCAAAAAATAGTATTGAAAGGAATATTGTGATAATTTTTTTTTTCTCATTTTTGTTGAGCCTTCGATTAACAGCAAAAGTAGGCGAGACACTTGGGTTCCGCGGAACCTTTACGAATTTTTTCCAGACTCAGATTTACGAAGGCTGAGTATTTTTCTACTGCATGGCTCAACCTATTGATCAAAAGAAGTTAATCAGAAATTGATTAAGGAGAGGACTATTAGATAATTTTCGAGTAGGGATCATGTTAAAACCGGCCAAGCAACAAGTGAAAACGAAACATTGAATTTCGCTAATAAGTCACAACAAGTTGTTGAAGTTTCAAATATTAACATAGCAAATACAATCTGGAAATATTGCCAACATGTTTTAAAAAGCGAAACTGAATATGCTCGCAGCTATTTGTAATGCAGTTGAATTAGTCAGTTAATTTGTTAAATCTTTCTGAATACACCTTATCGCTAATCCCGCTTGACCCGAGAATCTGTCCCGCTCGAACTTTTGACGTCATACAACAATCATTTTTCCATTGTGGCGTCAGACATTTTCTATTATGACGTCAAAATTTTACGGGAACTTGTGGGATGTCCAGTAATGGCGGACAAATAGCGATAAGGTGTATTGATTATATTTTTGTAGAAGAAACGCGCGTCTAGCGTACCCAATTTTAACCTGGTATCTTTTTTATGAGTTTTTAGCACATGTTTTCTACCCTTCAATTACTAAAGGATGTATGCTACTCTTGTACAGATACCGATTTATTGACGAAGACTGTATTTATACGACGGAAAACCGACCCAAAAATAACCATAATGTTTAATCCTTAGACATGCAAAATTCAAAAACCATCGGTACAGATACCGATTTATTGATAAAGACTGTATATATAGACGACTATTTTAGTTCATTTATATGTATTGGAGTTTAGTGTGACGTCCATTTTCATTGAACTAGTACACATTTTTTTGACACATTCCCCATTTCCATTTTCAATTTTATAAATAAAAATAAAATTGAGAATGAAAATGGGAAATGTGTCAAAGAGACAACAACCCGACCAAAGAGCAGAAAACAGCCCTAGGCCACCAATGGGTCTTCAACACAACGAGAAAATCCCGCATCTGGAGGCGGGCTTCAGCTGGCCCCCTAAACAAAAATGTGTACTAGTTCAATGAAAATTGACGTAACATTAAACTCCATTACATATAAATGAACTAAAATAGTCGTCTATATACAGTCTTCATCAATAAATTGGTATCTGTACCGATGGTTTTTGAATTTTACATTTCTAAGGATTAAACAAGAGACTGTATCAATCCTCTATTGTAAGATGTCTAATCATAATATTTAAGTTCATCACCGGTTTTTGGTTGGGTTTGCGGTGCTCAATCCTCAGTTTTCTGTGTAGTGTTTTGTAAACGATTTTTGTCTTTTCGTCAATTTTGATTTGGACTATGCTTGTGTTTATATTCCAGGGTTATCGGTGGCCGAGTGGTTTAAGTAGTCGAACTACTGTATCACTAGCCTGTCAACACTGAGGTTGTGAGTTCGAATCCCACACGGGCAGGTGCTCTCGACTCCAATTTTAAATTACTAGGATTGTCAGTTTTCCTACCGAATGTCGGTGGTTCTCTCCGGGCACTCCGGCTTCCTCCACCTATAAAATCTGACCGCTACGAAATAGCACAATAGTGTTGAAAGTGGCGCTAAACACCAATCAATCAATCAATTTTTTATAATATCCCTTATGGTGTTTGATTGTTCCCTAATTATCTTGTCTCTTTTTTTGTTTATGCAATACCCCAAGCTTTGCCAACAAGACAAAAATCCCCAAAAATAAAAAAAAATATTAAGTTATAAGAAACTATCAAAGGGGCATTAGCTGTCAAATTCATGTTCACCGATTTGACTCAAATTCTCATATTTGATTTATAACATACTAAAACGTATATCCAAATTACAAAATTTCTAATATAAACAATTAACAATGCATGGGCTCGATAATGTATATCAAAGTTTCGTCTGTATTTTTGTCTAGACGCCGTCTAATTAACCATCGAGATGACCTCCGAAGACTGCCGACGGTAATGTAACCCCACATAAAAATAAATATAAACAGATAGTGACCACGTGGAATTGGAATTTTCTTGGTCTGTTTAATTTCATATTGAAGGTTAAAAAGTATGTTTATCATCATTTTTACCTGTATAAGAACGATTTTTTTTGTGGATCGAATTAGTAATTAAATGGTTCATCCTTTTTTCGATTTCAATGTTGACATTCTTTTCCTTTTAATAGCTGAATACATGCGTAGCCCATGTCCAGCTAAGGGGTTAAAATAAAGGTCACATGAATACGGATTCAGTGAGGTCGAATTATTCACTTGCAAGTGAATAATTCATCAGCGATGTTTCCTAGCTTGTTTTGACAAACTTGAACCAAATTGGCTGCTAAAAGCGAATTATTATTTCACTATTTCACTTTCATTAATGATTGAACAAAAGAAAACCTTTTTTTATTTTTTTTATATCTCGTAGCTTATGCCCCTTTAACAAACGACTACCACTGACAAGGTCCCTGACTCAATCGGCAATCCTCGGGCGAGTCCGCTACTCTCCTTCTATCCAGATGGGGGCATGGAATCGATCGAGTTAAGACGAGTGTTCCCTGACTAGTGGTATGCACCCTTTGTTTCAACTAGTTCACAGCTATGACTCACAATACAAAGTACCGAAAAAAAAGAGATCAGCTTGAAAACTGAGGAATGCTAGATAAAAAAGATAATTATAAAAATAAGAAGTATGATTGCCAATGAGACCAAATGACGTAGAAAATAACAACTATAGGTCACTGTACGGCCTTAAAAAATGAACAAAACCTATTCCGCATAGTAAGCTTAGAAGCCCCCGAAATTACAAACGTAAAACAATTGAAACGAGAAAACTAACTACCTGATTTATGTACAAAACAATGAACGAATAACAAATAGGATTTACAGCAACAAACGAGAACCACTGAATATCAGGCTCCTGACTGAGACAGGCACATACAGAATGTGGCGGAGTAAAACATGTTTGCTGGTGCCAAACCCCTTCCCCCTAACTTGGGGCAGTGGTGTAACAGTACAACATAAGACAATCTATAAAAATCAGTTGATTATAAAGCATTTATGTAGATAATGCCCCTTTTCTAAACGTTGATAGGTAATTTTTCAATGACGCTCCGTAGAATTTATTTTTCTGATATTGTCTGTTTAAAAAGCTATTGGTCAACTATCCACCAGAGATCTTAGCAACTATATGTCACCGTACAGCTTTCAAGAGGGTCTAGATTGAGTTTACAGAATGGAAAATAATGGGCAAAAAGTGCATTATAAATGTAAAAAAAAAGAAAGAATAGAGAACAATGGTCTAAAGATTAAAGAATATAGAATCAAAGGACCCACCCAGAAGCTCCTTCAACAATGAGTAAAATCTATTCCACAAACCAAGCTACAAAAAGCCCCGACATGACAAAATTAGCAATTTGTTTATTTATTTTGCTGCAAAGCTGACACCATAAACGGATATACAATGAGCTGATACCTCTTCATGTTAACAATTTTATTTCACAATAAATTGATACAAGCAATGTTCTGTAACGATATCGTTAATTAAACTTCAATCTCCATAGTTGTTAACTGGTTATATAGCTAATATCTCGGCCATCTTCTCTACCTGTTATTTGTGAGTACGCACAACATAGTGCAGTGAAGTAAACTTGATTAAATCATATCCAAGTCTATTTCAATTAATTTACTTTTAATTATATATACTAGTACTCAAGTATTCAGTTAACAATATGATGTGTATCATCATATTTGTCAAGAAAAACAATGTTGATAAAATTACAAAAAATAAGCAGAGTACAGTGAATGGTGCATGTATATATCTGTTCTGTTTACAATTATGGGCAATACGTTTCTTTGCATGCCTAATATAATACAAAATGTTAAGTTTTGAGTTCACACAATTTTTACTTTTTTAACACATTGATTTTTTAAATATTTTTAATCATTCACACATTTTCATTTCAATTGCAGATTGTGTTGTTGCAGAAAGCTGTACAACATTATTTTGGAATAGTTCGTCATCTCAGTATAAGATAATATATCTATACTGTTCAAGCGGATGTTGTGAAGAAAACCGTTCACAGTTTTGTTGTTCGGCAGAAAACTTTAAGCATGTATTGTAAGTATTTGATTAAAACGTAACAGAGAATTGATTACTACATAACTATGGAAATTATTTGATAGAAACTAAAAACAATTTACGGAAAAACAAATATGACAGACATGAACCAACGTCAACTACTGAACTACAGGCTACTGACTAAGGACAGGCACATACAAATTGTGGCATGGTTAAACATGTTTGAACCTTCCACCTTACTTGAGACAGCGAGGTTACGGTCACAACATAAGAAGAAGCTATAATATTTTTTTTGTCAAATTTTATATGGCATTGACCTCAATTTAACGCACAATTGTCAATGTCACTTTTTCATAGCCGGCATTATTCTCCGGTAGCATCAGTATTGTTAACTCAGTGATATAAATAATTACAAGTAATCATATGCTCAAGAGTTATAATATCACTTGTATGGAGTATCTTTTATCGGACACGCCCATCAAAGGGCCGGAACGCCCAAAAAGGAGGAAACAAAACAAAAACTCGGTAAATTGAGAAACACAAAATCTATACATTTATCTAACACATTTTAGACACTGAAATATACTGAGATTTACCTTTGGATAAATTTTATAATTATTCTTATCAATAATATCTTGTTTGTAAAATATAGTATTTTTTTAAGAATACGAATCTATTTTTTTTTCCAGTTCGACAGGACAAATATTTGGGATAGCATTTGGTGCAATAATTAGTACAACGTTTTTCTTTGGATTTTGTATATGTGTTATCAAACTATGTATACTGCCTTCCATTCAACAAAATCGACGAAGTCAAAGTTCAAGTAAGTTTTAATCTGTATTATAAATAAAGATGCTAAAGCTTATACGTGGTATACATTATCGTCGGATTGATTGATTAATTTTTGTTTGCTTAACGTCAAGTGGCAAATATTTCATGGATATTCCGAACAAGAAAAAAGATAAGCAACACACCCTGATGTTCATTGGTCAAAATCTTATTATTAGGTCTATTTAAAAAAAAATGATACATGAAACATTTGAAGAACGGAAATAGTTTGTATGGGAACTTATTTTATTAAGAACATGAACAAGTGCTTCTGACAGATCTATTTGATTAATGAGCTGATCTCAGTTTGAGAATAACTGCCTATTAAAAATCAAATTTTGCATCAGTCGAGACATTGTTGTGTGTCAAATTTTTTTATATTTACACATATCTAATGAACTACTTGTAGGCCACGGAACAGAGCTGGATAACATGAGACAACACAATGACATTTCCATCATATCTGGTACGAACTCTTTACCTAAATACGAAGATTTGCCTCCTTCATACGAAGACGCTATTCGTGGAAGGGTTAATTTATCATTTATTAAAGAAGAGACCAGTCATAGTCAGACAACTGCAAGTGGTCATTCAGACACTCCAAATTCATGATATGTTTTAAGCGAAGTAGGACGCAAAGGTCATCACAATCATCTATTTTACGACAATGCTTTCAGAAAAAGTATTACAGATGCTTTATATTTCGTGGATTTCCGAAATGACATGGACATCGATCTATGCTGGCATGGATGGAAAATTTTACAATGACTACAAACGAACCTTTCTTGGGCTTTGGTACTAAGTCACTCCAAGCTGGCATGGATGGTGGGGTTCATACAATTTACATCAATTCTTAAATTTGTTATGCATGTTGAATATTGATGGTTAATGATCGGCGTTTATACCTTTCACTGCCATGTCCACAAGCAAGTATTGACTAACCAGCAACAGCATACTAAGAATCAGTACTAAGCAGATCATACTCCATTTTGTTTCAAAACTATTTGTTTTATGGACGAATAAATCAATTTATTGTATGTTTTATGATTAATATAAATCATTTTTAAGATTTTATTGTAGTAATAATGGAAAATAATTTGTTGATTTGATATTGACATTTTTAATGAGTTGTGTGTAGAGGGTAAGAGCATTAATTTTGATTTAAGATGACATACTATACCACACACTGGCGGTCGCGATAACCCCGAAAAATGTGAAGTGTGTAGAAAAGGTTTTAATCGAAGTTCCAAGCAAGTAGTAATGTAAGAATAAGGAGATGTGGTATGATTGCCAATGAGACAACCATGTGTAATAAAATTCAAGTTGTAAATTGAAATACACCAACAAACACATGCAGTTACATATACAACAACCCGTTTTTATGTGTGCCTATTTATGTTCATGACACTCATGTATCATGAATCCATCTAAGTTCAAATGAAGTGGATGTAAGCAATTATAGGTAACCGTACAGCCATCCTTTACTGGGAAACATGAAAGTTCACACCTATATTTAAAATACAATGTATTGGGTAGAGGATAAATTGAGTAATAGTCAGAACTTGAAAGAACAAACGCGAATACACCTGCTGATACTAATAAATAGGATGTTATATTATGGTGCAGTGTGATTATAAGTCGCACATAAGAATGCGTTGAAGTTATAAATATTTAAAATTTGATTTCCATGTTTTTTACAAAGAGGTCAATGATTTAGAAGCCTGAAAAAACACACAAGAACACTAACTGGGAACACCTTTTAAATACATATATGACTATGGTAGAGGATGTTGTACAAAGGTCTCCTTCACGAACACATTAAACACACAAGAACGCATACTGGTTCTGATCCTCATAGTGCGATATATGTCACAAACGGTATGGTTGTACTAGACATGCGCGTCTAGAGAACTAAATTATAAGCCTGATAGCTTTGGTTACTTTCTACGACCATTAGGTGTGCTGATTCACCAACCAAATACACAAAATGTAATGTGTTGACATAAAATATAAAATAAAATATCATTGATGGAGTTGTTTTCTATAAATGGTTAAAATCATTTGAAAACACTAAGTTTTTTATACATCCGACACAGAAAATCTAAGCAATTTAGATTGTATCAGGTATTTTGGTGCAAGCGCAACTAATGAGTATTGTGCAGCTTAAATGTACATCTGCCGTACTGAATTATAAGCCGGGTTTCTTTGATGGTTTTATACAAGTTCCCATGAGAGCTCATGCTTATCAAAAACCATGTGAAGTACAATATATGTGGTGAAGGATTTGGTAGACAAAAAAGAAATACAGATTTTTTTTGGAACACGCACTGGATGATTTGTAGATCTCAATTTGCTTGGTTTTTAACTTGAAGTTTGCTGTTTAAAATTTTAGATTTTTTGTTAAGTACCAAATATTGTTTTCGCGATATATAACACTTGATTGCATTTTACCCGTATGTTCTATATATAGCCGCTATGACCATGGTTGTTTATGTAATGAAATGTAATTTGAAAGCTATAATTAAGCTATTTCAAGGATCAACTGTGTGAAGTTAAGATTTGATATCAGTTGGTTCAATTTCCTAATAGAAGAATATGTTTGAAAAAGTCTAAGGACAACATACACCTAAGTGATAGCAAATGCTCTACTGACAGCTAAGGGAAGAAAAAGGAAAGAAAATATCAGGACAAGAAAGCACGAACAATCAAACTATTCTGAAAGATGCGTAGAAACAAATTGATCTGAGACCAACTTCCTGCTTCCATTAAGATCAAAGTACCTGCGACTCTTTTCACAAAAAATCTTACGATTAGAATTGATCGTAAGTTATACTGAAATGTGTATGACTTAAGAGTAATTTTACTCTTAAGATTTTTTGTGAAAAGAGCTGCAGGCTTATACATTGGTATGTCAAACGCGCATTTTATCAAAAAGCTGACGTGTAGTATACATTGGTATGCCATACGCGCATTTCATCAAAAAGGTGAAGTGTAGTATACATTGGTATGTCAAACGCGCATTTCATCAAAAAGCTGAAGTGTACAGAAAATCTTATCATTACATTACGTGTTAATTTAATTCAAACTATTTTGTATTACCAGCACGCATTGTTAGTAGCATTACACGTTTTGAATTACACAGATCACCCATAAATTCCTTTATTTTATCCTTGATCCATCATTTCTCCCTATAAATTAAAATGTATTATGCAACTATCAAGTTATATCAAGCCGGTGCTCACAATATAATGATGTATTTGTAAAACATCAGTATGTTACGAATATTAAACTAGATTATTAGATTTTTGCTGTTTAACTTCTCCAATGAAAGGAAAATCTGTACAAGAAATGCTAAAATAGACTATTTTAAGATCTTTTTATTTATATGAAGACATATATAAATTTAAGTAATATTTCAACCCAAAGATAGATAGCTTGCTGCAAAATGGCCTAAACAGAGATGATGTTATTGCTAAATTATGTTTTTGGATAAGGCTGTTTTTCATATTAAGTTAAGCGAAACCCTATAGGTGAAATAACCGATTAAGTCATATTTGTGAATTTCTACATATTTAAGACATCACACATTCAAGTTGAGTGACATCAAAACTGAAATGTATGCGCTTAAACAACCAGTGTATTCCATCGTAATAATTTATTTAAAGAATTACCAGAATGGTAAAATGAATGGAGAATTTCACATTTTCAGGAACAAACAATGTCTCAACTTCATTCCAATCTAAAAGTATTGATTGAATGAAAGTAAACCAAAACATAAACATAAAATAGGATATCCCATAATATAGCATACATATTTACATTTCCAGGTAAGTTAAAGGGAAAATTCGCGATTTTTTACTTTTCATCTTATTATGTTCATAATACCATAAAAAACATATTTACCAAGTTTTATCTGGATATGAACACTAATAAAGAAGAAAATTGGGAATTAATAATTTAATTTATTCCAACTTCCTGACTTATGTGACGTAGTTTAAGTCTTTTTGCATGCCGGGAGTGAATAAATCTCGTTGTAAGTCTTGTTCGTTAATCATCTAATAACGCGATTTAAAGCGCATCGACGACTTTTGGCGTAGCTATTAACCAACTAATAATTAAGAAAGTAAAGTGATCCGCCGTGCAACTTTCAAAATTAAAATGTACAATTTACTTATAAGGATTTCTGATATGATTATAGTAATAAAAGTAAATCATACAATAGAATATATTTTCATGAATTTTTTTTCCGACGGATATTTTGAACAAATATATTTAACTGATATTGTTTTACAAATGCATGTTTGTATTCCCACCTGAAGGCTTTTACTTTAGTCGAGTAATGTGTAAATACAATGTGTATTGTACTGTGACACTAAGTGACCACCTGTTGAATGCGTGGTTAAATTCAAGGTAATTAAAAGATTAGCATTCTGTAATTCTATTCTTTTGATCTTCACTCGGTGAATTTTAGCCAACACGGTTCACCGTTACAGGTGTGAACAACATTTCGTATGAATGATAAAAACATTAATTATTTGGGGAGGAATATGGTGGCAAAATACCTGAATTGCCGTTATATACATGTATATCTTTTATATTTTGCGTAAGCTTAATTTTAAAATAGATAGGTGAGTATTTTGTTGTAACATCGAAATTCTGAATTACTTTCAATTAAATAATTTTACAAATAAAAATGGCCCACGAAAACGAGCGTATAAACCAAACACTGTACTTACTTTTTCAAATTATCATGGGTATTAACCGTGAATATTTCAATGTTTAGAGAAAATTATCGCGGTTACATGATTAATATAGCTTGGTCCGTCCACAGCGATCTACATTTACCTAATCGGGAATGCCCTTATTAAAATATTTAAAATCTCACAACGTATACATACTTTAGCTATTTGACCAACGATGTTTAAAAAAAATAACAGAATCAATCTAACGTCAACTTTCCTTTTTTGAATGGAGACAGACCGGAGGAATCAATTTTCAATGTGCTTTATATCTTGTACCTTTGCAAGACTTATCATTCATTCATAAACCCACTTTATACCAGAGACATATATGTCAGTTTTAACTGACAAGAATACACCTAAAGCGGACAAGCAGTATTTTCTTTAAGTTTCTGTGATTTAATACCAAGAAAGAAAAAAATCCCGAAATTAATTTGATACTTTGATACTCAATATTTTTCCTGGAAAATATTCATATCCTCGTTTGGTCTGAAAATAAGATAAGAATTTGGTATACAGAACATGCAGAAGTGTGAATGTCATAAAACCTTGTTATATCAGAAACCATTATAAATGTGAACCTGTATACGTAAGACCTCATGGGACGTCACCTAACCACATACAGGTAATATACAAGTAGCTCTGTTATACCCGGAAATGTCAAGGTAAATCACTACCGATACAGAATGTACCAATGCAAAGAAAATTCTGATGATTGTGAAGCATGACCATTCATGATTTTAGAGGAGTCTTAGGTGGAAATTGCCGGTACGATTTAAATTCTGACTATATTTTTTTCTCTCAATTTAAATCACTGAACTTAAAAAAAAAAAAGAAACATACGCCCAAGATCAGAATTCTTCATGTAAATTCATAAATACAACGTTCTTATTTTGTAACTTTCGATATACTTCACCCCCAACCACCGCCCCCTTCCAACCTGGGAACAGTATATCTAACATAACACTGTTTGTGTACCTGCCAAAATAAAAAAAAAAAGATGAAAAAAGAAAGAGATGAACGGTAAGTCACATCAGATTCAAATATTTATATGGTTGATTGTCGTTAACTAGAGATGTAAAGTTACATGTCTCTGCGTTAACTTATAAGAATGACAGGAAAGTATATACTTGAAATAGATTTATGATGATAATATGCAACTGCAGCACCCCTTTTTATCAAAGTGTACATGCATGTATTTTAATGACTGTCCGTTATTTCGATTAAGAATGACAAGTGTACGTGAAATTCTATAGTTGCCAGTGAGACTTTTTTTTTTACCAGATATGCGACTTTTCGTATTTATATTTTCTCTTATATTACTCTCATTTAATATTTTATGCATAAGTGCAATATTAGGAATGGTTTATCCCCCATCCCTATTAAGCTAACTAAATAAATTAATCAACCTTCTAGCTGACCAGACGTTAACACATCTACTATCAGACAATTCGGAGTGAAGTTTCTTTATTTCTTCAAATAAGCTTTTTGGGGATCATTAGTGTACGTCCAGTGGCATATATATTACATGCATGTCGGAACAGGAAAATTGACATGAGGTATAATAGAACCATGTTCACATTATTACATTATTATATATAATACACAACCATTGAGATGATGACGACTTTCTTAAACTGTTCAAAATAATCTTATGGAAATAAAAATCTGTGATTTTACTATGTGCATAACTTTGATGAACCAAAGCAAGTTAGATATACATAAATAAAATAAATAAAATAAATAAAATAAATAAAATAAATAAAATAAATAAAATTAAAATAAATAAATAAAATAAATAAACAAATAATTATTTTATTATAGTGTCACATATTTGATCAAACAATATATATATACAACAATTCATAATAAAAACAGAGATCAAATATCCAGCCTTAGAATAGACTTATGAGACACTTAGATATCGACCTGTATTTAAATCAGATTGGTTTTGGATGTTTCTTTCGTATATTCAATATACATGTATATATTCTAAATTGCGACTATCTATAGTTCCGTAACCATCTATCTAGGCGTATAATCCAATGATCGACAAGTGCGTACATTTTGTTAAATCAATATTTGTACGTTTCAAAATGTCCATAATTATTGACAACGAGTAATTACTTATATTTTCCCCAATTTACGTTTGGAAAATATGTAAATATATTTTTATTTTATCAAATCTTTTTTTGGAATTATTTAGATTTTCATAAATGTTCTTTACACCATAAATGTTATTTATAAACAAGCGTATGAGTTTAGTCATATATATAATTGCTATTATATCTATGGTTTAGCAGAGACATATAATATATATGTCTCTGGGTTTAGTAAAGACTAGCATATCACTATCGGACACGCAAGACAAAGATGTATATTCACCTGATAGTTTCAAAATGGAAAGTTACAAGTTATCGGCCGTGTACACTTCTCAATACCCTCAGAGGTGAAGTGATGCACGAACTTGCTTTATGTAATTGTGTAATAAGAGTTTAAAAGCCCGACAGGAAATCGCTTGAATACCTGGACGTGTCAACTCACAATACCTCTGGGAACAATTCCTTTAGCAATGCTGGTGATCAGATAAGGGAAGGTCCGAATTTATTTAAATAAGATTATTACATAAATGAATTATGAACACACTAGATTTTCGAAAACATTTTTACACGGAACACTTAATTTATCACTTTGAACTTTTTAACTAATTTCCATTAACATTTCTTGTTTCAAAAACTTATTAAAAAAAAACAGTTTCAAAACGACAGACCATAGTACTAGTTATTCAAAAAAAATTATATATAATTACATTTTCCGTATCAAGTTAGTTAGGAAAGGTTGCATGCACAACCATGTCTATTATAATCTTTTTTTGTGACCCGGGAAACTGTTTAGGCTTTCCTTGTCGGGTAAAACAACCGTACGCTTGACAAGATATCGACACTCAATTACGGCTACGTTAGGTTACTGCTTGTTTTGGTCCTTTGTGGTTTATAGATATATCGTGGTTTCTATTCAGGGATGATGTCAAAATGGCCGCACGCGGAGAAGTGATACTCTAAATTTAAAATCGATGGTGATCTCTTATCTAGCAGAATTAAACTTTAATATTTATGAATTTGTGGTTTTTGATACATAATCAACATAATATCAATTTTTCATTTTTTTGCGAAGTTTCCCTTTAATGAACTTTGCTGATCTACATGCAACAACAAAAAATGATTAAAAAACCAAAAGCTACAATGGAATAGCTGATGCATTTATCAACAATCTTTAGATTCACATAATCAAACACATAGACATTTCTAAATGAGAGGCGATAGATACCAAATGGACTTTCAAACTCATAAGTCGAAAATAAACTGACAACGCCATGACTAAAAAAGACAAAAAGACAAACAGACAAACAATAGTATATACACGAAACACAACATAGAAAACTGAAGACTGAGCAACACGAACCCCATCAAAAATTGGGGATGATCTCAGGTGCTTCGGAAGGGTAAGCAGATCCTGCTCCACATGTGAATTATATTCCAAATTTTGCATTGTTTTCTATCTCGGTGTCCTCGTGCTTCCTTTGGCGCGTGAGATCGTATGTTAGATTACCTTTCGGGTCAAAGTAAGAACTTTTAAAAAGAAAGGAACAGAAAGGACCGGTATATGAATTCATGACACAAAATTACTACATGAACATTAAACACTACGAGTGAAGGAACAACACTTTCTTTGTTGTTCATCAAGTCACAGAACATGTTGCAAAAATCTCCCTCCTCACTGCAAGTTTTATTCGGTTCCTATCACCAGCTTGAGAGGCATTCTTAGCAAAGTGTCGACCACGCTACAACTGTGCATTGAAGAACCGAACTACAGGGTTATATTTACCTATTTCAAAATTATGCCTTTAAAATAGTCTAAAAGTGTCATTTCCTGTTTCCCTGCTGAACATATGACATTTTAGTCCGGTTGACTTGAAATACTGCTTCATTCCTCCATTCATTTTTATTATTTGTCGGAAAACATACCTCTTAATTATTTGTAAAAGATACATCGCTACACTATAACATCTAAGTTTTACTTCATGCTGTCGCAAACACAATGTGTGTAGCCGTAACGAATGGTCGTCTGATAAGGGAATGCACGTTGTTACTGAAAGCTAGCTTGATATAAGATCTAAATCTGCTGATACTGAAATTCATATCTTCTTATACCCTAATGCAACCTTATTAATTTTGTTCAGCCTATATTGCTTCAAGGACCCATTTTCCTTTCTAGAAATTGGCAAATTCATTGAAAGCCTGACAATTGCCTGATATTTGAGAACAGCTTATTTGAAATGTCGAAAAAAGAAAAATCACAAAAATACTGAACTCCGAGGAAAATTCAAAACGGAAAGTCCCTAATCAAATGGCAAAATCAAATGATAAAACACATCAAACGAATGGACAACAACTGTCATATTCCTGACTTGGTACAATCCAGCACATCTTCTTGCAATACTCAAAGCTTTTATAATGTTCATTTCTATTAATTAGAACATATGTAGTATGACATTAAATTAGACTCCAAACAAAACTTTTTTTGTCCTAAAAACAGTACATTTTATTGAAAAATGATATCCTCTCAGGAAAACTGATTTATACAGCATGAGACTCGACGTCATTATCTTTATTAAGATGATTATGGCAATTTTGAGAACACAATAAAACTTATCTATAGATTTCCTACTGCGACTTGCTTTAAATAAATATGAAAAATTCGTGACATAATAGATTTTGTGAAAAAAATGGATTAAAATTCCTACTACAGAAAATGTTACAATAAAGTCGCCTTTCGTTTAAACGATAAAAAGCCTAAGGTTGCCATTGACAATAGAAAAGAGAATGGAAGCGGGTTATGTGTCAAAAAACAACAACCCGATCAAAGAGCAGAAGACAGCACAAGGCCACTATAATGGGCCTTCAACGCAGCCAGAAAAAGTTTGCCGCTGTCGACAGATGTTCAATAATTCACATTGGACCACTGTTGAATGTGTTAAAATTCCCCCTTTTTTTATTAAATTTGTTTCTAAATATTATCTATTTTTTAATACAGGTATTTATTTTTTGCCATTTTCCATTTCTTTTTATTCACATTTTATGTTCAAATTGTATAATGGTGCACAAATATATCATTCATTTCCTTTTCCTGTTCTGGTTATTCAAGATATAATTTGGTTGAAATGCACTAAAAATTATCAATTAAGGGGAGCTAACTCCATATTTTGCTATCATTCTAACCAAGAGTTATCTAGAGATTTTTCGAATTACCAGACAAGCAGAAAAAAAAGACCTACCATTTCCAACTCAGGATGAGGGTAACTTCAAAATGTTTAGAATTTTTTTCTAAATTGCCTGATTCTTACAAAGACTGGCACTTAATTATATAACAACATGCTACTTTTGTATTATTTAAGGAATGACTGTAATATTTTTCTGTCTATCATGTCTATGAAGAAATAACATAAAAATGTGGTGCACAGTAAATAACCTGCGTAGCGGGTTATCTAAGAGTGTGCCGCATTTTTGAGGTTATTTCGAATAGACAGAAAAATATTACAGTCATTCCTTATAATTTAATTCAAAACATTTTTTAGGAGTTTATCAAGAAAAAACGGTCACATGGCAAAACTATGTCTATGAGCTAATAGACAAAAAACTTTCAGCCAATCAGAAGACCGTTACATCCAAAATTAAATTATTGCTAAATAAAAATAATCATGCCTGATAATCTAACCAATGAACATGACACATCCGATGGGTGTCACATGTGGAGCAGGAACGGCTGACCCTTCACAAGCACATGCATGATTTCGCTCTCGATTTTTTTTTTGGGTTAGTGTTTCTCAGCTTTTAGTTTTTTATGTACCGTTTTGCTAATGTTGTTTATTGTTTTACGTCAAGATTTTGTCTGTTTTTTTATAGGACTTTCGACTGCGTCCTAGGTATCTTCTTTCTCCATTTTATAACTGTTTATGTTTACATTCTACTAGTGTGTTACATGTTACAATAATTAAAAATACATTTTGTAGATCATGATCACATTACTGTTAATTGTTCAATGTTTCGGATACTAGCAGCTATCTCATATTAATAGCGTTTACAAAAGTACAATCAATATAATAAGACAGACGTCGTACTTGTGGAATAATTACGCTTGAGAAATATATTCTCCCTTGTGTTTAATATGGGACTTTGATTAAGTACTGTTCTGTTCTTATAATCAATGATCTCTGATAATTGGAAAGCTAAGCATGATTAATAATTGTGTAAACAAATCTATTGCATTTTATACACCGATTGGCATATTGTCTTAAAGAGCAGCACTTTGTTTTATTGAACCGATCAACTATTAAAAGTGCTTTATAGTTTTTCACTAAAAGGATATTGAGAAATTCATCAGAAAAAAGGATGGCAGAGAGTTCTGATAAAACCAAAACCGGTAAAACTGTAGTTATCGGCATTGATGGGAGCGAAAATTCACTGTTTGCAATTGAATGTAAGTGATATTGAATTTTTTATCCATTTTTATTTTGATTAAAAGAAATATTGTCAAGAATTGAAAGTAATATTTCGACATTTAACCAAATATGTTGGCTTTTAAAAGTATGATATTTTGCATATGTATTAACATAAATATAAAATAAGTAGCTGTGGTATGATTACCAATCAGACTACTAGTATTTTAAACAGATTCAAACGAAGCGGATTTAAGCAAATTTAGGTCACTGTATCACTGTATGATCCTCAACAATGATAAAAACTAATACCGTATAATCAGCTATAAAAGACCCCGACTTGAATAAATGTGAGACAATACAAACGAAAACACAGAAGGCTTGATTGAGGGTCGTAATGGGGGTACCTTCATGACGAATAACGGTAAAAATTCTTGCCCAATGACGTTAACGGTAATTTTTGGTACATGACGATAAAATGTACACTTTCTTTTAGACGATAAAAAAATCAACTGATTTTGACGAATCACGTTAAATGTTTTCCAAAAATAACGGTAACGATAATTATTTGAGACCTCTGACGAATCACGAAAAGGATATTTTGACGAATCACGGTAACATTTTAACCAATTTGACGCTAACGGTAGCCAAAAATGACCGTTTGACGCCTGACGGTAAATGGCATTCCTACCCTCTTGATTTATAACGACAATAAAAGAAAAAAACAAAAATATAACAGACAGAAACCAACGACATAGACGGAAATACAGGCTCCTTATTCTCAAAGACAAAAGAAAAAGCATCTTGCACAGTTCTTTTATTTCACTAACAGTTATATTGATGATGTTCTGTCACTCAATAACCCACATTTCAAAGAGTGCTTACATGTCCTTGTGACTAAATTTGAGATTAACTAAAGGATGCTGAAAGTAGAATGTCTGCTTCATATTTTATCTTTTCCTCGATATTGACACAGATAGATGACTTCAAACTAAAATCTATGACAAACTCGATGAAATAAACTTTTGAATTCTCAACTTCCCTTTTCTCAGCAGTAGCGTACCGCCTGCTCCATCGTGTGGCGTTTACACATATCAGTTAATGCGTTACACTCGTGCGTGTTCACAATATACGGACTTAATTAACGGAACAGGGGTACGCTCTTTTCGAAGACCTGCCCCAACAGAGTTATGAAGAAGAACGACTAAAATCGACACCTTTATGGTCATCATCACCAATTGGTTGACCGATATGATGTGTCGGTGTCTCAACTCACTAGCGACATATCTTCGCGGTCGTTTGTCTCAAGACTTAGTATAGTCGTCAGATCTGCAATTTTACTAATTGTGACATTGGACTGAGCGTGAAGAATTCGCATGGCGGGTGATGCATGCAAAGCAGGAGACGCTTATCCTGTCGACTTACATGGTCTCGCTCCTTTTGGAGTTTTTGCGATTGCCCTTTTCTTTGTTTGTTACCTTGTTTTGTCGCTTCCTAATCAATTTCTGAGATTTGAACATTGGTAAACGTGTCGCCCTAATGTTTTTGAGCCAATCAGCTATCAACCCTACCCTAACCTTGGACAATGGCGTGCCGGCATAATACAAGAACAAACTGTAAAAATCAGTTTGGAATGGTTTGACATAAGAATGTGAAAAAATATATGCGGGGAAGTTAGATGGTGATGGCAGAGAACATACTTTATATGTATACACAGAAATACTGTGAAGTCCACTTGAAATGATCTCCTAAATGTTATATCACCTTACAAATATCATCTAATACAAAAAGAAAGTATTGCATGATCTTTAGAGTATCAAGGGAGAAAGGTTGGGTTAATGCTACTTCTTATGTAATGCATAGTACTTTCATTGCGAAAAATAGGATCAGTATTTGGTATATGCTGATCTGAACGATGTCAGTACAATATTTTGTAGGTCTAATATACAAGAATATGGTTGTGATTCAATGAATCTCCCTTCAATTGGGATTTGTTAGTCAAATTGAGTCAATTAGAATGATAATCCATTTAGGCAAGCATTTTTATGAAGTTTGTGTATTAAAATAATGAATTTTTCAAATTGATATTATTTTTCAAAATCTGTTAATTCAGTTTAAAATCATAATGTGGTTGGAAGTTTACTTTCAAATATCAAAAATGGTCTCGTCTCACCTCGGACAGAGGCAAGTCATGTGCTTAATTTGCGGCAAGGTATACTCGAAATTGCTATCTTTTGCTCTCTGCCAGGCACGCAAATTGAGGAGCATATACTTCACGGTCAGCCCCGGGACAGAATAATGATTCCAGGTATGGGGAAATGTAATGATGCAAACTATTGTCTTGTTGGCACACACGTTTAAATCCGAAGCTAACAAGTTAAAGCGTTATGCGTATCAAGATAACCAATAAAACTCAATTATCATATCTAAGCTTCCTCACAGTGAAGTCTTCGTGTTCATGAGGTTATTCGTAATACGTAATGCCTTTCTGATAAACATTATCATAGTTTCATTATTATCTTTTAAATGTTTGCAGACATCTGACATAATTCATTTTTTATCCCCTTGTTAGATAAACAGCACCTGTTGTGTGATAGTTCGTATGGTTATGTAATTATTTAGATTCTATATTTTAAATAGATGTTTATATTGATAAGTATTTAATAAATAAAATGTGTTATTCCAAAATACAACATTCATTACACATTAAGCGAATTCACAGGCATCAAAGAAAAAAAATAATTGCATTTTTAACATTTATAAAAATGTTCAACTTATATGTTATCTTTAGTATCACTACAAAAGTCAAAAAGTCTGAAAAGACCAGTTTTTGTCTGAATTTGCATGAATTTTGACTCGACATTCTTAATTTGTCTGAATAATTTTTAAAAATTCTTGACATAGTATGAATTTGTCTAATAAGGTTCTTGATTTTTCTTGACAAGTGTCTTGATAGTATGAACATTGTCTTAAAATTTCTCGACACTTCCTGTATCATCTGATAAGAGTCTGGAATAGTCTCGACCAATTCTTGACTGTCTTAAATTTGTCTCGATCTGTCTTGACATATTCTTGACATTCTTAATAATGTCTGAATATGTCTCGACATATTCTTGACATTCTAAATAATGTCTGAATATGTCTCGACACATTCTTGACAGTCTTAAATATGTCTTGACACTATCTCAACAGTATAAATTTCGCGTGAAATGTGAACAGACTTATTTTGCACTGTTTATGACATTCTATTGCTGTTATATACTCCTTTTTATTATGGCTAAACTAAACTTTGAAGAATCAAGGATTAATTTGGTATAGTAAGATACCCTTTTGGTGCAACTAAGTTGGAATACCCTGAATAATCCCCCATGTAGTTTAATTTTGATTTATTTTTATTAAACATTTAAGTAATTGTTTTCACTTGGAATATAAGTCGAAGGTATTGACAAACAGCATTTAGATTTTTGCCGTTCGCAAAACTGCCAGTCAAATTTGCTTTACTAAAATAGGTGTCTTGTATCTCTTTTGGACCCCACAATTCATCTTTTGGGTTTGTGTGGCTAAAAAAAGAGGGGGGTGGGGGGGGGGCTTTCGTTTAGGTCAAAGAATTTGTTCCCATCTTGATTCAAAAACCTTATTCTTTTTTTAGAACAACCCAAAAACATTTTTTATTCAAATTTGAGTGTTGAATTTTATAATTTTTTATCAAAAATAAATATTTGTGATAACTCCTTCCTGAAAAGAAAAAAATGTTTAGATCTATATTATGCATGTCTGTTTGAGAACCATTTCATAAGACTGATGATTTCTATAGAAATCATTGATGGGACCCATTATAAATACATTTTTTTTATTATTCCTGGAGTAGATAATAATTTTCTTTTAATCTTTGGGAATTATTCAATTTGTTTTTATGTTAAAATAATTAACTTCATAATTTTGATGAAGAAAATCCATTTCAATTCAATTTTTTTTTCATCAAAATGATGATTTTCATTTTCATCTATCAACAAACTTTTTAAATTGTAGTGGCATGGTCGGTCAACTGATAAGTTGTATGGCTGATTACAGGTAAAGCAATAACTTCTATTTGACAGTTGGGTGAACTCTGGGGTGTGGAATACCTTAATTTTATGGGGAACATCCTGTCCATGTGTAATACTTAATATATTCCAACAGATGACATTACACAAATTTTTCTTCTATTAAATGAATGATTTGTATATCATCATAATTTGCTATTTATATAAACCACATTTTGGTATAATAATTATTTACCATATCAACATTGAATATTATGAATGTAGAATGAAATATGTCTACAGTATGATTGGTTTGATTCATTTAATTTATAAGATTTAGGAATCAAAATTTGTAATTATTTAAAAACCCACATTGAAATTGTTTTATATCAACACACCCACATTTGAATTATTTTATACTTTATATTTCATAGCCATATTTGCATTTGTAAAAATATTTATATACCCAAATTTTCAATTATTTTACATGCCCAACTTTTAGTTTTGTTGTAAAGAAGTGTAACTTGAAACAACAGTATATCATATAAAGAGAAATAAAGATTAAAGTTATATCATGAATATTGGTCATGATTTGTAAAACTCAGAACTGTCAAGTAAATTTAAGACACGATTCAAAATGTTCAGAATATGTCAAGCCATACTGAGAAAAAATAAGAATGTCGAGAATATGTCGAGAAATTTCAAGACAGTATTCAAATGTCAAGAATTTGTCAAGAAATTTTAAGACCATATTCAGAATGTCGAGAATATGTCGAGTAAATTTCATACAAATTTAATATAAATGAGAATTTGTCAAGAAAAATTAAGACACAAGTCATACTTTTGGAGAATGTCGAGTAAAAGTTCATGCAAATTAAGACAAAAACTGGTCTTTTCAGACTTTTAGACTTTTGTAGTGTATTGTGTACATATAAACAAATAGTCGATCCAAATAACAATGAGGAGAAAAGCGTCAAAATTACCTCTTAGAATCAAAGTTTTTGTGACCAATGCAATTA